ACCAGAATACAAACAGCTCTCCTTCAAAAGGCTTCCTGTGATGCTAAAACACCGTTCAACTTGGTTCTGTTTCTCTATCTTTCAGAGCCCAAATTGCATCAGATGAGCCCTCAATGCTCTTTTTATCACATGACTAAAACCACTCAAATCAAGGCACTCTATTATGCCAGATCCAAACACCAGCTGTGCCTTTAAACTTTTGACAACATCCTACCATTCCCTTCTTCCTGACACTGTCCCCTGCTGGTCCCACGCATCACTTTGCTACCTACTGCCAGCAGCTCTTTCCCCTCTGCTATGCTGAGTCTTTTAGTTGACTTTGAAATCCTTTCCTCAGAATTCGGGCTGAGGCGCACTTCTGTTTACTCCCTCTATGTGAGCAGTTTTCAATGACTTAAGGCTGACAATTTTATGTTGCTGACTCCTAAATTTATTCCATTTTATTTTATTTTATTTTTTTATCTTTTTGAGACAAGGTCTCCTTGTAGCCCCAGCTGTCCTGGAACTATGTAGACCAGGCTGGCCTTGAACTCACAAAGATCTGCCCGCCTCTGCCTCTGGAGTGCTGGGATTAAAGGTGTGTGCCACCACACCCTGCACCATTTTAACACACAGCTGCCCTACATCATTCCTGTACATAAAATCTTTTCAGGATGCTCTAAGTATATGCATGTACACCTGTTTTTGCCCATCTGTCTCTCCCACCAGAATGTAAGCTCCACAAGATCAGGGGTTACATCCATTGTCTTCGCATTCCCCATGAGTCAGTCATCAATATGAAAGTGTGAAGGTTCAGATGACCATTCTTTTCAGATTAGGAGACTGTGGCCGTCTACAAATTGTGACTGGGAGAAAGGAAGTGCTGCCAGGGCTGATTTTTTTCCCCCATACTCTGGAGCCCACTCTCACCTTGCTCTTTGACATTTACTCCATCAGTGACATGCCACTGGACTGTTCTGCTCACCTTTTCCCTTTTGGTACCCCCCCCCAGCAGGAAAACATGTTTAAGTCTTATCCTAGATTCCCCCAAGTGTAACACACCAGCTCTCTCAGGTTCTTAGGTTCTCCAGCTGCCATCTCAGCATCTCTTTACCTCCACGGCAAAACCCCAAAGAGCACCCCAAGCTCAATTCCTTTCTTGATCTCCTATTCCTCCTATAGCAACGCTGCCTGTTGATTGCCAAAGCTATTGCCTACCTAACTCCCTCTTGCAGGAATTAGCACTGGAAACAAATACCCACACAGTACCTCCTTTCTAGGCCTTCATTACATCAATAGCTGCTAACCATGCTACGGTTCTTTTTCAGTGTCCCTTCACACTCTGTAGATTCCTTGGTCCTTGTTTTCCCTCCTTCTGGAAAGTCTCCAAGATGGGACTCTCTATATCCACAACCTCTACAACTACTTTTATGCTAGTAACTCCCAAATCTTTATTTCCAGTCTAGCCCCAAACTCTACAAGAATATATGGAAATGCTCACTTGGCTTTTCTGTTTGATTCTGTCCACAAACATTTCAAAATCAACATCTCAGAACTGAATTTATGTTGCTTCTCTCCATTGTGCTTGTCTTTTCATGTCCTCAGAACCAACTCATATCCACTCAGATAGTGAAGCCAGAAATCTCGTGGCAAATCCAGACTCCAGCTCCTCCTCTCACTTTTTAACTGCAGGTACAAGAACAGACTATTTTCTTTCTTAAAATTTTCTCTCAGCCAGCTTTTCTTCTGCATTTAAATAAGAACCATCTGAATCTGGCCAGTCGCCCTCTTCCATTACATAGGTCTCTGCCTTCTAAATGGTCTCCTTCCACCACAATGGTTATCAGGTCTGTCCCTGTACACAGATGATGCATTGATGTGATGGCTAATCCTGGGTGTCAACTTGACTGGATCTGGGATTAGCTGAAATGAGAGAGATCTTCTTGATTGGATTATCTGAAGCTGGAAGACACACACTAAATGTGGGTGTTACCTTCTGATGCAGCCCGTATAAAAGGTCAAGACAGAGGAGAACACCTGGCTTCTTGCTGCTTGCCTTCTCTCTCGCTGGTGAGTTCACCTTGCTGCTGTAGACTGAAGACTAGCTGATCTTTTGGAATTCATCAGACCTTCAATGCCAGATTGGGACTACTAAGACATCCAGCCTCGTGGACTGAGCGACTACCAGATTCTCAGCCTCTCCGGTGTGGTGCAGCCATTGTTGGACTGCTTGGACTCTATCTTGTGAGCTAATCTGAGAAATCCAGTACATATATATATTTTTTTTTCTACCGGTTCTGTTTCTTTAGAGAACCCTGACTTATACAGTTCATTCTACGGGTTCTGTTTCATTGGAGAACCCTGACTAGTACAATTGATACTCAAACAAAAATGTGAACATGCCACTCCATGTTTAAGGCCTTTCTGTGACTCCACATCTAGAGCAGGAGAACCCACCATAGTGTGTGATGCACAAGCTCAAGTTTCTGAATTTCCACACCTCCTGTACATACTTCCAGTGATTACAGTGTGCCTTACCAGTTGCTTTCTGTTTTCACAGAAGACATCTGAGGCAGGTGCACGCGTGCGCACACAGACATGCACACATATGATTCCCCCAGGCCTTAGCATAATTTATATAGACAATGAATATTTAGGACTGGGTAATCTTTGAGTTTTACTTTACACTGCAGTACTTGGAGTTGTCTCCATCTCCCTAAAAGGCTTCTAAACTTCTAAACTGAGGCCCAAGTTACTTTTCTCTGCATGTAGAGAGAGCATTCACCCAAGGAGACAGAATTTTATAGCAAAAAAAAAAAAGAGACAGAAAACAAAACAAAACTAAACTAAAAACCCTAAGGATTTGTAAGCAGATAGGCTTGAGTCAAAACTAACCTCAACATTAATTAATTGCATGTCATTGGGCACAAAAGCTTCAAGCTTAAGTATAATATCGTGAAACTGGAATAATATTCCATTTGAATCAGAGCTGTTTTGAGGATTAAATGAGATCCCAGCCAACATGAGCAGATAAGTGGAGTCAGTGCTCACTTTATCTGCAATCCCATCACCTCCTCTGTGAAACATTTACTGTCCTTGGAAGAGTGTGCTACACCCTTCCCTGCTGCCCACCCATGCTAACCTCTAGTTCTCTTACAGCAGTTATGGAATTACCTCTTAATTCTGCCTTTTAGTTATTTGTATCCCCATTAAATAAGCAAGTGGCTATAGAGGGTTTTGCTTTATTCCTTGGGAAAATTACTCATTATTTAACAATTCTTCACCTAAACTTCCCAGGTTGGAAAGCTGAAAAGGATGAGAAGGCACAGCTTACCCAACCACAACTGTAACTCAACATCCTTCTTCTTTACCACTAGTACTGGTCTTTAATACTGGTCAGTCTCTAGCTGGCTCACTGAAAAGCATCCAATGACCCCAATTCAAACACAATACATTCTGGTTATAGAACCAAACTGCAACTGTTGCAGAAGAAAGATGCCAGAAAAATGGATGGAAATTGTTATAGAATGCTTAAATCACAAAGCAGATGAAAAGCTGATGGAATAAAACTAGTTAACTGGCAAACAAACATGGATAATGACAAGATAGGTACTGCAAATGCAATCATCTTGACTATTCAATGAAACAGTATTTCTACCAATCAACACTTTTAAGATACATTTTCCAAAACAAAACAAATCACTACCACCAAATTTAAAAACAAAACAAAAAACAAAACCCAAACAACTGGCACTTTCTTATAAGTACTACAAAAACAAATTTCAAGATTAAGTTTAAATCCTATCTTGGACTTTTTTACAATCTTAGTGAGAAAGATACACATGCAAACCAATGCCTAACTTCTTAATTTTAAGAAAATTTTTTCATAGTTGCAATTATATTTTACCATTAAAGATATAAAACATTTGTTTTCAAAGAAAAGAGCCCTAAACAAGCATCTCCTCCCATTCCGAGTGTGAGTGAACGAGTGTATGTGTGATCTGTTTAAATGGCTCTACTTTGAGTGGACTTTCTTCAGGATCAACTATTCTATGTTAAGGAAGTAAGTCTTCTATAAATCTTTGTTGCTTATACCAGACACGCAACAAATATCTGACAAACTACCGGAAGTCCAAACCAAGAATTCCGTATAGAGTATTTCGTGCTACTCTTTGGTCCCAAAATAACCTACTGGGCTGGAAATTCTGGAACCAAAGTCAATTCTAAACCGCCCCAGATCCACCGAAGATGAACACGGTTAAAAACACTTATCAATGAATTCCGTTCCACGAAAGGTCAACAATCCTAACACTAACGATCTTAGGATTCCACGATTTATGTACAAAACACTGAGCTTGCTGCAATGAGGTGAGAAGTGGAAGCCATAAAGATTAAAAACACTCATATAGTGTAATATGGAGAACAGCCACAAACACAAGTATTTAATGAATTCATGGGAACTGCGTGTAGGCTGGCTCCAACCTCAGGTTCTTAGGCTCTCATATTTCTCTACACACCTGACAGCTGGAAGAGCTTTGCTAAATCAGTACGAGACGCCGAGAACTAAGATCACCCTGTTTTAACCTGGTTCAGAACAGTGCTTTGCAGAATTATTTTTCCTTTCTTCCTGGTACTGAACAGAAAGATTTGCCCTGTTTGGTTCCAAATGATTTGCTTTTCAAAGTCTCAGGCAAACTCAAGAGTCCCCCAGGCCTCGAGGCTGGAGCATCCGGGAACCGCCCCTTCTGGAAAGTGACCCCCAGGGGAAGCACCCCTTCTCCCAGGCCAGGCTCCCCGCCCTCCCGGCCCGACCAAGGGTGCGGCAGCTTCCTCCCTCCTCCCCGCCCCCACCCCTCCCCGCGCATCCCCCAGCCCGGGCTCTCGGGGCTCGCTGAGCCGGCCCCCCCCCCCCCCGGCCCGACCAGGGGTGCGGCCGCTCCCCCCCCCCCCCCCGCCCCCCCCCCTCCCCGCGCATCCCCCAGCCCGGGCTCTACAGAGGGGCGGAGGCGAGCCTCGGGTACCTGGAGGTTGGAGCCAGTGGCTGCCATGGTGGAGATCCGAAGCGGCTCCCGGCGGCCAAACGAGGGGGCGAGGACAGCCAGCAGCAGTGCCTGGAATCTCGCCCCACGTCACAGCCGCAGACCGCGGGAGGCTGGTGGCTCTGGGACCCCGAGCAGCAGCCTCGGTTCCGGAACTATAAATCAACTCCACACTCCACCGTGAGCCGACGGACCCTCCTCACTAAACTTCCGCAATCCCGAGCCCCTCTAGGCTCTGGTCCCGCCTCTGGCCCGAACACTTCCGCTTCGTCATCGGCACGCGCGCGCTATCTAGTCACCTACTGTATGGCTGGCCACGGTCGGGCTCTCGCGAGAAGAGAACAGGACTAGGCGAAGCCCTTCCAAGGTTTGGCGGAAGTCAGGCTTGGTGTCTGCGTACTGCAACTTGTGTCTTCTTGCGGGTTAGACGCCCCGGAGAATTAAGAAGCTTAATTGTCGCTTCCTGGATAAAATAGTTATCCAATCACCTAAACTCACGGGTTAGGAATTGGGATCCCTTTCTGTTCTTGTCACCGCCTCTTCCTAGTCTGTGACGTGCAGCAATTCTGTTCCCCAGGCAGGTGATGGCGCAAGCAATAAGACCTGTTATGTTAGCTGTCACGCTTTTCACTGCGTCTCTGTTGTGTTGGCTCTGGGAAGCTTTGGGAATGTTTATATAAATAAGTTGCGTGTTCCCCATTGAGCTTACGGTCTGGAGAGGAAGCAGGCTTGTTTTGCAGACAATGAGTAGGTCAGATAATACACCAGTTGCACTCACAAAGGAAGTCCGTGATTCCATAGGGTATATGCCAGAATAATGACAAAACTGAATTTTTTTTTCAGTCCGCTGCACAATCTCCTTTTTCTTCTGTTCATGGTTAGGCTTCTCAGAGGAAAGCAGAATAGGTGTTTAATCCATTTTATTTACCATTTATTAACCCCATTTTATTTTCCATCCATCCAGTAATTTTTGCTGTCATCATAGCTCTTAAGTCCTGGCCTTTCCTCTTTAATTAACATGGTCAACCACTCTTGACGTTGCCCTCATGTGGTTTCTGTTCATCTGTACATCTTTCACGTCCACCTTGCTCCTCTCTAGGTACAGTTTTCTAAATCCTATCCTCTGGACTCACTATTTTTACTCCTACTGAAGGTGTTCATGGACTAAAAGTGGCTTCTAATATAGATTTTGAGACACGCTCTGTCCTCTGCCTGAATTTCCAATTTCCTTTCACAGGGTTTTACTTGCTGCAAGACAAACTCAACACTTCCAAAGCTAAATGAATCTTCCAATACAAATTTCCTTCTGTGGTTTCTTCTTAGAATGGCACCATGAAGTCTCCATCATCCAGGCTCAGGATTCATTGCTCACTGTGTCCTGCAACTTAGACTTTGCTTCTCAGCTCTCTTTCTTCTTCTGGTACAAGTACTTTAGGAATCCCACCTCACAATGCCAGTAATTAAATGTGATAATTAGTAAGCTTAGTTTAACTGCTTAAAATCATTCGCCGGTTCCCAGTGATTATCAACTAAACCTGATATTTTTATGAAAATATGATCAGCTTCAAGTTTCAATACAATTTGTGTGTGTGCACAAGCAGTGATGGGGATTGATCCCAAGGGCAAGCATTCCACTAATGAGCTGTACATTCAGATCTTCAATCCCTAAACACTTCCTGAAATGAAATACAGGTACTAGGTAGGCATCAGGAAACTATGAAGATGCACTGTCCTTGTTATTGAGGAGTTTAAAGTTTAATGGAAGAGGGGCTGGAGAAATGGCTCAGTGGTTAAGAGCACTGACTGCTCTTGCAGATGGATGTGGAATCCATTCCCAGCACCCACCTGGCAGCTAACAATGAATTCCAGTTCCAGGGGAATCTATTGCCCTCTTCTGGCCTCTTCCAGCTTGCATGTCACAAGTGCACTTATGCACATGCAGGCAAAACACACACATAGAATAAGTAAATAATTGTTTTTAATTTAGTAGAAGAGACAGTTAAAAGAGAAGATCTTGTTGGAATTTTTCACCATGAGCCAGTCTGTTTAAGACATTGGATATGACTCAGTCAACATTGCCTTTATCAACAATAGTAAGTCATGTTAATATGATGTACTCTATGTACTATCAAAATGGCACATTATCTCTGTGATATTATTTCCCCAAATCTATAATCTCAGTCTAAGAAAACACCAAGAAAATTCTTATCAAGGTATTTTTCTGTTTCTGTAAAATGAATCGTGCTCTTCAAAAATGTCAAGGTTATCAAAGATGAGGAACATGTGAGAAGCTGTCACAAATTGAAGAAAACTATAAGACATGGTGGCTTAGTGTGTGGGATTCAGGATTGAATTCTAGTGTAGAAAAAGGTCATTAGTTGACAGGCATGGTGGCACTTGCTTTAATCCCAGCACTTGTGAGACAGAGGAAGGCAGATCTCTGTGAGATCAAGGCCCACCTAGTCTATCTACATAGTGAGTTCCAAGTCAGCTGGGGCTCTGGGGGGAGGGGGAGAGAAAGAAAAGAAAAGAAAAAAGACAGTTAAAACTCTGATAAAAATAAGAGAAAAGTTTGTAGTTTGGCAATGTACTATACCATACTAATGTTTTAGTTTTGATAAACGTATCCTGGTTATTTAAGACGTTAGCAGTAGAGGAAGTTAGGTGAAGAATATATTTGAATTCTGTAAATATCTTTGCAAATCTTATGTAAGTACTTTATATTAAGTTTTTCTTTTTGAAATTCCTGTTCTCTGGCTAGGTCCTTACATTCTAGTACAACAAAACCTTTATCTATTATGTATTTAAAATATAAATGGAAAATATATGTGTAATAATTTCAAAATATTAATGCATGCCTTTTATCTAACTGAATTCTGTGAGGCACATTTTAAGTGCCCCATTCTTTACAAATTAAAAGGCTAAATGGGATGCCAGGAGGTCCCCAACTCATACAGCACTTTGCAAGGTAGAAGTGGCGACTGAACCCAGATCACCTGACCTCAGGTGCAATCTCCACTGAGAACTGTGGTTAAGTGGAGAATAGCGGCAGAAAGCGCCAGGACATGGGGCAGAACACTTCATTCTAAACCAGTTTTAGGGGTGCCTTAGGTGTCATTGGAACTGAACCTCACATTCTTAAATTGATTCCTACAGCCCCAGGCCATTTGAGGCAGCAGGAAAAGGGGGAATACATTGTAAAGATGAAAGGAGCCCGCCATGTTAAGGGACGCTGGCATGCAGGAAGCAGAAGCACAGAGTGGCAGGAAGTGAAGCTAGAAATACATCAGCCCCAGGCTTTGTGAGTCTGGACTTTTTTGTAGGCAGTAGGGTGATAGAAGCCCTGCTCCTGCATCTCTGGGCCTTCTGGACTCCCTTCCTGGCAGAGTTGTGATGTAGTGGGATATTGTTTTTCTTTTGATTTTATTTATTATTTTTATTTTATGTGTGTGAGTGTATCGCCTGCATATATGTGAGTGCACCTGTGTCGTGCAATGCCGCGGAGGTCAGAAGAGGGCGTCGGATTCCCCTGGAACTGGAGTTAAGGACGGTTCATAGCCACCACAGTGTGGGTGCTGGGTTTTTTTGAAGATGGGTTTTAGTGTCTGTTACAGAATGAAGCCAGAAGAGAGAACAGACAGCAGGATGAAATAACAACCCTATTGCAACAGTGTTGCACTTTAGAAGAAGTGTGTCCAGTTGAAAAGATATTCCTTATTCCTGATGCATATACCCTATTTTCCTGCGTCATGGGCTTTGGTTAATACTAGATCTTTTCCAGGCTGGCGAGATGGCTCAGCGGTTAAGAACGCTGGCTGCTCTTACAGAAGACCTGGGTTCGATTCCTAGCACCCACATGGCTGCTAACAGCTGTCCGTAAGTCCAGTTCCAGGGGATCCAACGCCCTCTTCTGACCTCAGGCATTACATGACATGGGTTCACTTACATACGTGCAGGCAATACACACATACACATAAAATAAAGATAATAAATAATAAAAATTTAAAGACTAAGAACTGTTACCCTTGCTGACATACTGTCCTAACTTTCTACATGGTAAAATTCCTCAAGGTCTTACTTTTTAAATTGGAACTCCCTCCCCAAGAACTATACCTTACACATTTTATAACTCCCTCTGCCCTTGCCACTACATATACTCACAGAGTATGTGCTTAAATAATCAAGGTTTATTGAGCAAAGGAAGTGACCTCTTCAAGGGAAACATTGCATGAAACACTTCAGGCATCAAGGATTTTGGAAACAAGATCAACAAGGCTCACAGGTAGCATTTGTGGGCTCAGCTTTTCAAAGAATTTTACATGTAGACCAACACAGACTCCATCTCTTTAGTGCATAGTATTAACACCTTCCCTGTTCCCTGCACAGCCACCCCTATGTATCCAGAAGTCAGGTCTCTGCTTGTTAAGTTTCCATCTCCTCCATGACCTGGAATATAATGTGTAGGCAGGCCGAGGGCTGGCAGGACTGATATGGTAAACGATGTGACTCACTGCATTCTCAAGCTAGAAACCTGTTGAGCCATCTGGGGTGGAATGCCTTTTTGAATATAATGAAAGCCTGCCTAGACTTAGGGCTGCATATTTATTTGTATGAAGCCAGAGTGAGCTTGAGAGGTGAGCTGAGTGAGTTTGGTCATGTGCTGGATAGCTTTACTGTCAACTTGACACACCTGGGTTGAGGGAGCCTCAGTAGGGAAATTGCCTCTATTGGACTGGCCTGTGGCCATGTCTGAAGGGCATCTTCTTGATGAGTGATGTGGGAGGGCCCAGCCCACTGTGGGTGGTGCCACCCCTGGGCAGGTGGTCCTGTGTTGCACAAGAAATCAGGCTGAGCAGGGGCCAAGGGAGCAAGCCAGTAAGCAGCGTACCTCCATGGCCTGTGCTCCAGCTCCTGCTTCCAGGTTCCTGCCCTGAGTTCCTACCTTAGGCTCCATGATGAACTGCAACCTGGGAGTTGTGAGCTGAATAAACCCTTTCCACCCCAAGTTGGTATTGGTCAGAGTGTTTTGTCACAGCAATGAAGAAACAAACTAGGACAGGTGATCAGCCCATCAGTATTGATTGGCCAGGGGATGGGGAGTGTGGAATCAAGCAGACATTCTGTATTGCTGATTGCACAGCGGTGATAATGTGGAGGGGAGAGAAAAGATGAGATACCTACCTGTAAGAAGTTTGTAGACTTACCCCATCAGCCCTCAGTCTGTGAGTGCTTGGCATATGAATGGCACACATAAATTGAAGTGATT